AGTTCTTAATTCTGCGCTATACTTCATTTTTGACTTTCCTCTTCTATTTATCACTTCCTGTATTACATTAGGAATTTCAGCCTATATACCAAAAATCAATGCATTTTATTAACATTTTATTTTTAACTTAATCGAATTTATTGAAATTTATTGAAATATTAACAATATCTACTTATATACACACATATTTTATATACACTTGTATGAATTGTACACTATATAACATTTTTAAAGAACTACTATTCTTATTACTAGTATGTACACTGCTTGTCAATAATTGGTTCCATTCTCTTAGCAAGTTTAATAGGATATGTGACATATGCTATATAAACTCACTAGGGGGATAGAATTATTGACGGGTAATGCACTATTCTTTAGAATGTATTTACAATTATGTAGTATGAAAGAGCGAATGTCTGTGTGTTGCTATAGTATTGTTGTCGGGCCCGGCTTGGGCTGTTGCGAGAGGTGCGGCGAGTCGAGCGCGATCGATGAGACGTGTAGACCTTTTTCCAAGGATCTTGTCAGGATTAGGCGAGGAGGGGGTGGGAAAACCACTGACTTGAACACTTGGTTAATTTTAACTAGACTGTATTTTGATTGCCGATCACGATCACTACAACTGCACTCGATTAAACGTACTATCTCCGATACAGGATTCTATTGCGTCGCGTATACTGAACTCGCAGGACCGGCGCGTGTCCCTTCACAAAGGCGAGTGTCTTTCGGCGAGCTCGGCTCCGTGGCGGTTCGCTCGAGCTTGCACGCGCTTTTTGCGTGCTCTGGTTTTCGCGCGTTTATTCTGTATCGTTCCCCGGGAGCAGGCGCGCTCTCCCGGCGAATATTCTTACAGACGCGAGTCGCGAGAATAACAGAGGACGATCGCGAAGAAGGACAGGCGGCGCGCGTGCGATTGTTTTGGCGACGCGGAGAATCGGCGAGTCGAAGGTAGTCAGTCGAAGGTAGAGAGTCGAAGGTAGAGAGTCGAAGCGAGCGAGTCGAAGCGAGCGAGTTGAAACCAGAGAGTCGGTAGTAACGAGTCGAAGCGAGTTAATCGTAGTCGGTCGAAGCGAGTTAGTTGAAGCGAGAGCGTGTTACGAGAAAGAGTGTCTCGAGCGTTACTGTGAATAAACAACTCTTATTTAACACTATCCGAGCACAGTTCCCACATCATTATTTACCGGAATCACCTACCATCCCACCCTTGATTCCTACAATTAGAATAAAAGAAAATTAATTTATATACTAATTAATGTTATACTAATATTAATTTATATACTAATTAACGTTATATTAGTATTAATGTATGTACTAATTAATTAATATACTAAGTAATTAGTAAATTATAATTACAATTAATTACTTAAAATATTACAATGATGCATTAGAAGTAAAATTTATAAATGTACAATTACTTACAGTTAAATTACAATCATAATACATTATAATTACAATATGATGTTGAATTATGATTATAATTCTCAAAAAATGTTCATTATAATAAATGATTAAGACATTTTTTTTTTTTTATTATTTTATTTTAATCCTTGCCTTGCGGCTTAGGATGACTTGCATCCACCCATACATAATTTTACAAACGCATAATACATTTACACATATAACTTTCATTTACATATATACATTATACATTCTTATATCATCCTAACTAGCTCCAACTAACTCAACATTCTGACTGTCCTTACATTTCCCTTCTTACTCCTCTCCCTCAAACCCCTCCTTTTTCTCCAGCTCTTTTCTAACCCTTCCTATCCATTTCATTACTTCTAGTCCTTTCCCCTCCTCTCCTAAAAATTCTTCTAACTGTATCTCGCTTTTCGTCGCCTCACATTCTTTTAATATATGTTCTATGTTCTCCTCTTCTCTTTGGCATATTCTGCATCTTCTATCCTCTTCCTCTCTCCAATGTTCACTGCCTTTCACCTCGCTCCCGCATCTGTACCTGGCTATCAACATTCTATCCTTTTTCTTCCTCTTTCCTTGTAAATATTTTGGTAACTCCTCTGTTAAAATCTCTTTATATTTACTATTGTATCTCGATTCGCATATCTTTATCCTCCTCCCCTCTCTCTCCTTTCCCTCTATTCTCTCCACTAACCCTTCCGCCGCCTCCCCTGCCTCCATCTCTCTCCTCAGCTGCTCCCTCTCCATTCCTGCTCTCTCCATCAATTCTCTCCTCTTCTTTTCCCAGTTACTCTCTTCTTTCCTCGGCCTGTTCTTCTCTAAATCCTTTATACATGCTTTGACTATTTTCTTCTCTGACTGCCTTGCCTTCTCCTCATACCTTGCGGCTCTTCTTATTGCTCTCATTTTGATCTCCTTTATTTTGACTTCTTCTGATATTATATAATTCGGGGTTCTCCTATCCAAACCTAAGATCCATTTAACGTACTTTCTTTTTATTACAACTAATCTGCTTTCGTGTAGCCATCCCCATATTTCAGCTCCGTACAATGCCACGCTTTCTACCAGTGACTCGAACATTTTCATTCTTCTTTTAAAGTCTTCTTTAAATATTCTCTCTCCTATGCTCCATGTCCTCTTCATCGCTATGGTCGCCTTCTTCATCCTATCTTTTATATGATTCTCCGCCCCCCCGTTTTTCTGTAGTATATATCCCAGGTACTTTATTTCCTTAACCTCCTCTATTTCTTCCTCTCCCCACTTCCATTCCCTTTTCTTTCTTCTTCCCCTCGCTTTCTCGAACACCATTATTTTTTATTTCTCCGGACTCAAACTCAAGCCTTTCCCTTTCAAATACCTCTTGAACCTTCTCATCATCTCTTTCAATTCTGCCTCTCTTGTCGCCATTAACACCACGTCATCCGCGTATGATATTGTCCAAAATTTTTCTTTCCCTATCACAAGGCCTCCTACTTGCCCTTTTTCCATTTCTTCCTCCAGATCCATGATGTACAAATTAAACAGATTCGGGCTCAACGGGCATCCTTGTCTTAGTCCCTTTTCTGTCCAAAATCCTTCTGTCTTCTTGTCCCTTACCTTCACTACATTTTTCGTTTCCTTGTATGTCCCCATTATCCTTTGTCTCAAGTGGTCTTCGATTCCTATCTTCTTCATTATCTTATTCAGTTTCCCTCTGTCTACTTTGTCGAACGCTGCTTTAAGGTCCGCAAAAAATGCAAAGACCTTTCCACCTTTCTTACTCAGCTCCTTATTCGTTACGTAATTTATCGTGTATACTGCATCCATCGTTCCTCTGTTCTTTCTGAATCCGAATTGCCCTTCCCTTAGCTTATTCTCCAACTCCTTCTCCAACCTTGCATTTAAAATACTTGCGTATATTTTGTATGCCGTATTCATTAACGTAACTCCTCTGTAATTTCTTGGGTCGTTTCTCTCTCCTCTCTTGTATATTGGACTAATCATACCTTTATTCCAGTCTCCCGGTATGCCCTCTCCTTTCCAGATTCTGTTAATTAATTTTAAAAATTCTTCTCCCACCTCCTTCTGCATAAATCTCCATGTCTCGTTCTCAATTCCGTCCTCCCCTGTTGCCTTTCCCATCTTCAGTTTTTTTATTACTTCGATCACCTCTTCCCTCGATATTTCTTCTACTCCCTCTGCCACCTCCTCTCTCTCACCATCCTCTTCTCCTTCTTCTTCTATTTCTAACATAACTCTTTCCTCTGTCCCTCCTAGTATTTCCATGAAGTGATTTCTCCACTCATCCATCTGTATCTCCTCACTTATCCCCTCAGCCTTCCTTTTCCTGTATTTGTTTATATACTTCCAAGCTTCCGCTTCATTTTTGACTTTCCTTATCTTTTCTACTTCCTCGCTTTCGTGCCTCCTCTTTTGCTCTTTACACCATTCCTTGTGCTCCTTTCTTTCCTTCACATACTCATCTTTTCCGATCCTTCCCTTCTTCCATTCCCTCATCAATCTCCTCAATCTTCTTTTCCTTTCCTTCCATTCTTTATTATACCACTCTCTTCTTCCTAACCTCCAAGGTATTATTTTTTTCTTCCGCTTCGTGATAGCGCTCTTTACTTTATCTTTCATCTCTTTCCAAATGTCTTCTGTTTTTGTCTGTGTACTTTTCCATTCTTCGCATTTTTCATGATATTCTCTCCTCCCTTCTTCTGTCCAGTCGCTTCTCTCTACTACTATTTCCTTCTTCCCTTTCCCTGTCTCCACCACCCGGGGTCCTAACAGCTCCACCTCCAGCGGCACGTGATCCGATTCCGTTTTAGTTCCTTCTTCCACCGTATCTATTTCCTCTCCTGCTCTGTCATTCCCTAATACATAGTCTATAACCGATGATCCCACGTCTCCTATATATGTCCATCCACCTTCCCTTCCGAAACTCCCGTTTAAGATCGCCCATCCTCTTTCCTCTATTTTTTCTATTAATATGCGTCCCTCCTTATTTATCACTTTATCTACTGATTTTCTGGTTTCTCTCCTCTTTTCTCTCTCTTCCTCCTCATTTATCGGTCCTCCTTCTTTTCCCGTCCTCGTGTTGAAATCCCCTCCTATTAGCAACCATTCTTCCTCTTCTTCTTGTACCTTCTTCCTTAGTGTTTCCATCGTATCTTCTATCTTTTGACTATATAACGTGATTATTCTCCATTTGTTTCCATTGTACTCTAATCTGCTTTCCACCGCTTCGTCGCTGATCTCCCTGACCTCTAAATGTTTCAAATTTTTGTTGACTGCTGTTATGATTCCTCCTTTTGCTCTTCCTTTCCTGTGTTCCCTCTTCGCTGGTACGAAGTTCCAGATGAATTTGCTGGACAGTTTATTTTTAATCTTCCTCCATTTATCCTCCTCCATCCATGTTTCCACCAGACCTATCACATCAAAATTCTCTAGATAATCCCATGTTTCTTCGCATTTATTCATTAGACCCGCCACGTTCCAAAAGCATATCTTTAATCCTCTTTCTTTTTCGGTCTTATTTTCCTTTCCTCCCTTTTCTCTCACGCTCCTCATTCCCCCCTCCCCTTCCTCGTCCCGCCCTACTCTTTCTGAAAAGCTTTCCTTTCTAGCTTTTCGGTTCTCCACTTCCATTCACAGTTGTCAATCCATATTCTTTGGTATCCCACCGTTGCTTTCTTCCCCTTTTCCCTCTCTTCTCTAACTATACTCCATAAATGCTTTTGTATTTGCCTCTCTACTGCCGTCAGATCATCGTCTATGAATATCTTTCTTGCTTTTCCTATCTCCTTCCTCTTTACCATTATTTCTTTTTTATCCTCCCATCTGTTGAATCTGACTAACGTCATTTTATATTCTCCCCGGCCGATTGTCTGCACTTCTTCCACCTCCATCTTCTTGGTAATTTCTTCTTCCAAAAATTTCTTCATCTTCTCCTTTCCTTCACTTCCATTTTCCACTTTCATTCCTTTAATGATTATGTTATTTCTCCTTCTCCTTCTTTCTACTATCTCAGAGTTTCTTTCCATCTCTTTCATCTTCTTCGTAAATTCGCTCACTAGCTTTCCGCCTCCGTTATCCTCCATTTTTCCTACTTTCTCCTCCAACTGTTTTATTCTATTTTCTAATCTCGCTTTTTGCTCTTCCCAAAGTATTTCTCTCATTCTATAATCCTCTCTCATTTCCTGTATCTCTTTCATTATCTCCTCTTTGTCCTTCTTTCTTTCTTTCTCTTGTTCATCCATCTTCGCTATAATCTCTTTCAGCATTTTCTCCATCTCCATACCTTCTTCTTTCTTTTCCTCTCTTTTTATCTTGTTTGGCGGCGATCTTATCTCCCTATTTCCTTTACCGAAACTATCTAATATTTCCTTTTCGGCTTTTTCTATCGATTCTCTCTCTTCCTCCCTTCCTCTCTTATTCTTTACGTAGTCTATGATTGATGTTTGACTTCCTGCCCTATCTCTTATTCTTGACAGCTCCTCCGCCCTCGAGGGTCTGCCTACTGTCCTCTTCTCCCTCTCGTCTTTCCTCGATTCGGTATCCTTATTCTCACCCTCCTCTCTCTTCTCTTCCATCTAAATCCCTCTCTCGCTTTTTATACTTTCGGCACCCCTTTTCTCCTGTCCTCTCTTCTTTACCGACAGTGTTTTCGTTATCTCCGGCTTCGGCTTCTCCGTGCCTTCCCTCGCTCTTCTCACCTAACCTAACCTTCAAATTGTCGCAACCACACAGAATCCTCGTTCTCGTCTGTTGTTCGACTCCTATACTGCTGATTTATATCTGTAGTCAGCCCTGCATATATGTGCATGCAATCTACCTGAAACAAAGTCGCCCCACGGCGAAAGAACGGCAGATAAACTCGAAAAAACACTGACGCGTTTGACAAGCGTGTTTCTCTCTACTTACTCCCACTCCAAGTCCGATTAAGACATATCAATAAGCATTCATTACTCTTATCCGATATTAATTGCCGCTTCTTTAAATCTTTTACAAGATCTTTTATCGATGAAATGTGCTTTTTGTATCTCTTAACATTTCTTTTTAGAGATTGAATTTGTACTGCCTGTTGCTGAACTTTACGCTTCATGACAGAGAATGCTATTGCAGCTCCCCTTGGAGTTTCTCAACTTTTTGATGAGATGTCACCTATGTATCGAGGATTTTTCATTCTTGGAAATTTTGCTGTACATGGAACCTAAAATATTATTTAATTGAAAACGTTGCACATATGAAAAATATCTATCGAATAAAAATTTATCAAATTAACAGAATATTTAGTGATTAAAAATGAAGTGTAGAAACGTAGAAAAGACGAGGATAACTCTGATAAATTAGAATAAGTTTAATAGTACTGAAAGTACTGAAAGATTGGCTGATTACAAAAGCAATAAAATATGGAAACTATATAATGCAATAAGAACTGCATGGAAACTGATGGAAATGTGTTGAAGAAAGAAATATTAAGGGAAAAAAAGAATTAGAAGTAAAGAAAATAGAAAAGATGTAAACTTAACTGTTGCTTCTTTAAATCTTTGACGAGATCCTTTAATGATAAAATGTGATTTTGTATATGATTTAAGCATGAAACTTAAAAATGCATTATTTAAACAATGAACCAAAAAGACTTTTTATGATAAGTATATCCAACATTGTAATAAATCTTCTTTTAATTGTTATGTCACAATCCTTATAATTCTTATATTGTTTTATATTGAATCAAATTAGCTCTAATTAATTTATACAATATTCAGCAACAGGTAGTACAAATTCAATCTCTTAACAGATCTCTTTAGAGATTGAATTTGTACTATCTGTTGCTGAAAATTGTATAAATTAATTTGAGCTAATTTGATTCAATATAAAACAATGTAAAAATCATAAGGATTGTGACATAACAATTAAAAGAAGATTTATTACAATGTTCCGGGGAAAAAATGG